AAATTTTAATATTTTGATTTCAAAGTTACCAACAATCTACAGGAACATTAAACCCAATTAAACCATATAGCTGCGCTACAACTAGATACCAAGGTTATAAACTCAAATGACCATATAACTCAAGAACAATATGGATGTTGTTGTGCCTCATTGATTCTGTGATGTATAACATTGGCGAATCTTACGAATTTTCATATAACCATACTAGTTCAATAAGTAAAAATATCAAACAGCTACAAAATATCAAGATTAAAAATAGGTAATAAACCAATCATTTAATATTCATTATCATAGAGTCTATTATTTCAAAATCATATGATCAAATTGATTTGTCCAAGTGTACTTAAGAATCTAGTATGTATAAGAATATCTCATATTTAATATATCAAGTATATTATGAATTCTTATTGAACTTTCAACTTAAATTATTAAATGAACTATATAACTTACCAACTTACCTTAAATAATACTGGACGTTGGTGTTTCAACGAACTAAAAACTTCAATTTTCACATTTCTGGAAGAAAGATCTGAACAATTCTTGATTGATAATTACCCAATAATGAAAAATGAAAAGTAGAACAAAGAATCGAACTCAATTAAAGAATAAGTGTATATCTCAGCGATATATTCATTAATTTGAAAAAATGGGAAATTGTTTCATGAGTTTATATATAAATTTTGAAATTAGCCGCCGTGATAAAATTACGCGTGTTTCGTGTCATGAAATCTACTATAGTGAACTTTATATAATCACAGCTCATGAACATATAATGGACGCGTGTCATTCCTTCTTAATCAGTATACAAAATCACTCTGATTATGTTATGATTGTATATGAGTCCACTTTCTTTAACATTGGATGATTCTATTAACTCATGTATAACTATTAAACTAATCCTCTGAGGTAATTAATACATACAATCATGAGATCGTTTAGACCACTGATAGTCAAAGGTATGCTTTAGTCTACAAGGAAACAAATGAAAAAAAGATGAAATAATTCCATTATATTGCTAAACACTCTTATGATTAAAATCATTGGATTATATATGGATTATTGAAATCGATCTGGTGTATGTAAAGACAATAAATGGTTAATTTATATGATCAATACATCTCAGATCTTGGATCTTCTAGTAAGAAAATTGTGAAGTTAACAAAGAATTATGAGTTGAATGCGGTAAACTCCACAAACACTGTACAAATAGATTCTAATTAGTTAGAATTAGCAGACATATGTTGGATTGTATGGGTACCCAATAAGATAAATTTCTCAAAAAAATAAGCCATGCCAAAGACAGGAGCCAGACGTACGAGGAAATCATTAGGAAATCATTAAGAAATCATTTAGAATTTGTTTTGAATTTTCTCCCAGCTTTTTTAAATACTACTTTATTTTTCGCGACGTTCGACAACATCATGAATCATGCAATGTTTTTTATTTTTATTTCTGATCGACGTTAAGATTTGATATTGATATTGAATTTGAATTTTGAATCATATGATCATATTATGTGTATTTATGTTTTAAGTAGACACTTGTTTAGTAATTGAGAATGTAAAAGTGTTTTTATGGAAATGAAATTTCAGCTATATGTTCAGTTATTAAAGCATTAACTGAATGACCCAATTCACTTCAACTCTAGGCCATTGAAAAGGCCTTAATCATTGCCTAAACTCTCCGTGAATGAAACTACTGTATAGTTACTCAAATTATGAATATTATTTGATAATTTAATTTGTAGCTAAGATATTGCAACCATAGTCTTATTTATAAGACCAATTAAATGGTGATATAAGTGCACTACATCGCTTTATAAGGGGGCTACTTTATAAGGACTCCCATTTATAATAGAAAATTATTGTAAACACATGAAAGAATCCATTGTCTCATCTATATTTTCAAAATGAAGTAACAATAGACTCTCATGTGATATGTATATTAATGATTTGTATTAATTTATAAATTGAAATTAAATCGTTCAATGTATCAATCAATCATTTTGAAATTGTAACGCCGCTTCCCAAGTAAAGAAGATATGAAGATATGACTATGAACCAATTAGTTGTGAAAAGTTTTTCATAGTCCATATATGTTTATCACCCACAATCAAAATGGAATCATGGAGAAAAGAATCACAATTAAAACCATTTAAAGCCAGTTCTGCTAGATATTCTGAATTATCATCCAATTTAGGTACAAGATTTAAACCAATGCAACAGTTGGACAATTTTGTTTTTTCAAAAAAAATCTAATTTCGCACACTTTTTAGTCGTTAGCTGTACGTACAGAAGAAGTCTATAAAGTAGATACCAACTAAAGTATCTTTAAATATTCACCATTCAATTTACTTCTCTAATCTGCTAAGGTACTATCGTCAATCTCAAATCTACAATAATCATAAACACCAAGTGAAAAATCTTTATTTCAAAATCATCAAGTCTTATCAATCATCTTGTTCAAACAATATAAATAAAACAATGATTTCTTCAACACATATATTTGAAAAGACATTATCATAAACTAAGCATATAAACTAATAATCTTTCAAATTAAACTTAGATCTGGTTAAGAACATTTACCTCTAAATGACAAAACACTTGGATATACAGATTAAACTTTACTAGTGATCATCATGTGGATATTCAAGACACAAAGAAGCTCTAATTAAGTCCATGAACAAAAATATAAGAGGAACACCCAAAACACTTAATGGTTCATTGACGAATTTCCAATGATTGTACTTAAAGACTTTCGTTTGCAAAAAAAGATAAGAAAAAAGGATTTTTCTATTGTTTTATATTCCCCTAAAATTGCCCCCTGAATTTTAGGAAGAAATCGGGATTTTGGCTACTGACAAGTTACAACCTCAAGCGAAAACTCAAAGACATAGAGAGAAACTAACTTGTATTAGAGATCTCTAATGATTATTGGATCTTAAGAAGACATTGTATGCGCTAGAAATGGGATAGATCTGCTACAAAATATCAACAATGTAAAACAATCATTTATTAATCATAGAATCTATTAATTTCAAAATCATATGATCAAACTGATTTGTTAAAGTGTATATGAATAGTTTATATAAGAATATCTCATTATCATGTTATCAATTGATTATCTTCCAACATGTATGAATTCTTATTGAGATTTTAACAAAATATATCAATTAACTCATAACTTACCTTCTAATTAATCACTAGTATTATTCATGATGGTTTTATATAGATCCAGAAACAGAGGATGACTTTTTTAGAAACACAAGATGAAATGAATTATCGAGACTCTCAAAAGAATGTTACCCAAAAAAAAATCCCTTAACGTAGTGCTGAATGACTATTGTTGTAAGTATACTCGTTTGAAATATATGAGCTCAAATAACTTTTAGACAAAAAAAGAGGGATTCCATGACTTTATATAAGATTCTGAAATTAGCCGCTGTGATCAAAACCACAAATTAATTTCTAAAAATCTACGTATTAATTAACTTATATAAGTGTTTAACAAATAACAAATAATGATCTGAAGCTCATATACGTCGTCAAGTATTATAATCAATTGATACCGCTGTATTCATCTATTTCTGTTTCGTATATTGAACACAGCGCTAACCAGCTACATAATCATTTAACAATCACAATCTATAATATGGTTTCATATTCCTATGGGATTCTTGTATAATTATAAAATCAATTGGTTTGATAAGAAAAGCATTTAAAAGGTTATATTTAGATCCATTCATAATTGAAAGAATAGTATAATCAACTACAGAATCTCAAGATCCTAGATTAAATTAAAACATATAAAACAATCATTTATTCAATGTCATAGAATCTATAATTTTAAATCTTATGATCATATTTACAATTGTTCAAGTGTATATGAATAGTATATAAGAATCCAACACATATAAATTCTTAATGAACTTTCAAATTATTAATGAACTAATACTTACCTGCTTAACTTGCCCTCAACTTAAGATCATAAGATTTAAGCTAAGAATTATGCAAAGGACACTATTATATTAACAATATTAATCCAATTATGGTAAAAAAATTGAATTTAACATGAGGATCCAAATCCATGCTTTCTGTCTAAATAAATCATGCATGGAGTATTCATGGTATATGGTGATAGATGTGAAAGAAATAAACGGGACTTCATGAGTTTATATAATAAAAAAAATTAGCCGCTGTGATAAAATTACAATTATATAAGCGTTTGATCAATACTAAACAATGATTTGAAATTCATATACAACATTTGCAGTATCATAATCACTAATTCATGTGGAACAAATATATTAGGACCTTTTTACCAGCTTGATATTCTGGGATCTGAAGACATAGCGATTGTTGTCATTTTATGTATAGTTATGATAGTTAGCCGCTGTATAAAATAAAGAACGTGACTAATCAATAAGCTTATAAAAAGACTTTGATCATTCCTCAAAGTATACTCTAATATTCAGTATACAATAAAATATGAGATCGCCCACCGACTGCAAAGATCCTCTACAAAAGGACTATTAAAGATGAAATAACCATTAATATATTAACATTAAACAATGTAGTCATTGAATTATATATGGATTATTGAATTGGATCTAATTGGTGTAATGACAATAAATGATTAATTTATATGATCAAAACACCTCAGATCTAAAGACTAAAAGCAACTGACAAAGTGGTTCTAATATATTTATTAAGCTGTCTCTTCTAGTTTAGCATCATTGGTATATAGACTGAAGTAATCAGAGTCAGGGTGAGAGTTCTATAAGAAAGGATTAATAGTTATTGAGTTTTGATAAATAAAGGAGTTCATTATTTCCGATTTTCCTCCCTTTTATAGTGCTTTTTTCTCGCGAATTAGTTCAATGAAGATTTGTTTTCATTTCTTTACACGCTAAACTTAACCGAGATTTATATAAACCACGATTCACAAATAAACTAGGACAAACACCATACAGTTATACAAATCACAAGGCTTATACTCAGATGTCCATACCCAGAAACAATATGCTATGGAGGATAGAAAAATGTTGTTGTGCTTTAGCTTCACTTTTCCCCAAAGTATTAAGTAACGGACTTTATCTATGGGCAATTTATGCATTTTGTTATGATTTATGTTTACAAGAGATTGGTGGGATAATTGGTCTTATATTAAGTGTAATAGGGTTTTATTTAGCAATCCAGGGGATTTATTTATATTATAGAGTTATAAAATTAGGTGCTGGATCACCATTAGATTTTAATGAATTACATATAGAATCAGAATTTAATATTTTACAAGATCAAATTGATCAAACACCACCAGATTTTTTAATTAAAAATTCATTAATGATTAAATCAAATGGGAAATTTAGATATTGTGATAAATGTCAAGTTTGGAAACCTGATAGATGTCATCATTGTTCAAGTTGTAATAAATGTTGGCTTAAAATGGATCATCATTGTCCTTGGTTTGCAACTTGTATTGGATTTAAAAATCAAAAATCATTTGTTCAATTTTTAGTAAATACTGTGATATTTGGTTGGTATGCATTATTAATCAGTGGGTTTAAATTATATCAATTTTTTTATAATGAAAATTATAAAGAAGAATATTTAAGTTTTAATATTGTGATATTAGCAGTCCTAGGGTTAACTATAGGTATTGCAGTTGGGTTATTCACAGCTATTACAATTTATTTCGTTTCACAAAATTTAACCACAATTGAATATTATGATTATACAAGATATAGAAATAATTTAGAAATTGCAAATGATAGTTATTATCAATATTCTAAAAAACCAAGTGCAAAAGATTTAGGTAATGCATATAACTTGGGTTCTATCACCAAGAATTTCCAAACAGTATTAGGTGAAACTTGGTCAGAATGGTTATTACCAATTGATAATAAATCTACAGGTGAAATTTTCTATGATAAAGGTTTAATATATCCGGCAAACCCAAAGATTAAAGATGCATTGGTTAGTAATTCTAAATTACAACATCAATTATTAAGAGAATTACAACATTCTTCTTATAATCATAGCCCTGTTGATACTGATAGACTTGTATAGACATTTATAGATGAGATGCACTTAAAATCAAAAATTCGCGGGTATAATAATTTTTTTTTAGTATAACTAGTAAAAATCTACAAATGAAATCTTATGGCAAATATTGGAATAACCCAGTCACGAACAGCTGTGATAACTTTGTTGATTAAATGATTCATATATGAAATGGTGAGTATTATTTTCTCATATCCCAAAAAAGAATGGCTTTTTAACTAACATATTTCAGGTACTCCCCATAATATTAGGTGTTGGTGTAACGTTCATTGCTTTAACAGTGAGTTTCTGAAAATACAATACAAGATCAACATATCATGGATCACTAACAATTTCATAAAGGCCAGAAATGCATTATCAGCGTTTTCTAAATATAAAACACTATCAAGTATAAAAATTGCTAGGATGAATGGTATAACAATATCTCAATATCAAACACAAAATAATATGAGAGTTGATTCTCATTTAAGAGATAAATTTAAAAAATATCCTGGTGGTTTTAATCAACGAATAATGACTGAAGGTGAAGCTCTTGAGATCTTGGGGATCCAAGGGAATGAAATCATGAATTTAGATAAAGATTTATTAAAAAAGAAACATCGTAATTTAATGATTCAAAATCATCCTGATAGAGGTGGTAGTCCTTATTTAGCTATGAAGATTAATGAAGCTAAAGAGGTGTTGGAGAAGAGTTATATGTTTAGAAGATGAACAGAGGGTTTGATCATCATTGTATATAATATTCTGGTTCTGGTTAACTTGTATAAATAGATATTCATGAATAATAAAAAAGGGTTATAGATTGGTTATTTTCAACGGTAAAAAGCTTTTTATAGGTAATCTGGCTCGTAGAAGAATGATTAGATAGTATAGAAAGCATGTAGGTTAATATTGATACTGGTTTTCCAATTGTTTTATTATGTTGTACCACTTCATTTAGCCTAAATTGAGCCTCGGATTCAAGGTAAAAAAAATCCTTTCTCCAGATTTTCAAAAAATCAACATTAATTGGAAAAGCCGCCGTTACTGAAAACAAAGAACATCAACACCAAAAAAAAAATACTTCTGCTTCATAAATCTTGCTATAAAAATCATGCCTGGTCTTGTATCACAAGCTACTCAAAGACCACCGTCAACCCCGTTGAACGTCAAAGTTGAATTTGAAGAAGATCAATTGGGACCTGTGTCTTATGTTAAGATAACAAATGATTTAAAGAATGAATTATTCGCCACAAAATATTTATCAATTAAATTAATAGGATCAGATTTATTTTCAAATTCAATCATTTATGAAGTTGATGATGAACCAATTGAAGGTTCTGGAACTATAAAAATTGTTGATTCTTCAAGATTTAAAGATATTTCAAATTTAACTATTGAACAAGCTTTTATCTCTACAATTGAACCAATATCAATTCAAAGAGCAATTATATCATTCCCAGATGAAATTTATCAATTATTGAAAGGGTTTTCTGGTGAAACTTTATTGAATTTCCTAAAGGAAAAATTACAATTAAATATTATTCGTGAAGGTGATTCATTATTAACAAAAGGTGAAGTATTATTATGTGAACCGATTGATCAAGGTAAAATTGATGAAAATACCACTATAACATTGATTAAAGATGCTGTTAAGACTAAAGAGGAAGAAGAAGATGTTAATGATTTAAGCACGTTGGATATATCAACATATTTATCTATTTCCAAATCAAAACCTCAACAACATGAATATAACGTTAGGGCTTTGGATCATAAAGTTATACATACTATCCCTTCACCAAATCTTAAAGATGATATACATGGATTAGCTTTCTTGAAAGCAAATGATTTAGCTAAAATTGGTGTTCATAGTGGTGATTTTATTGAAATTGAAATTAATAATTCAATAAAATTATTGAAAATTTTAACATTTATTGAACCAAACTCTTATCCAAATAATACTATATATTTTTCACCAATTTTCTTAATAAATAATCCAACAATAGGTGAAAAAATTATTATCAGAAAAACTGAAAAAAAATTATCTGATGTTTCATTAACTGAAAAAGTTGAATTAGAAGCTTTATCATCACCAATAACTTTGAATAGGATTTATACTTCATTTATTCAAGCTGAATTAACTACATATTTCAAATCTGTTTCAAGATTTGTTTCAATCGGTGATTTGATTCCAATTCCAATTGATACAGTATTAGCTGAATCACTTTCTGAAATAGATTTAAATAATGAAATCATTTTACCAACTGGGGAGCCGGACTCTGTTGCTTGGTATAGAGTTTCTTCAATTAATGATTCAATTGAACAAGATTCCAAACAATATCTCTTGGATAGTTCAAATACTGAATTAGGTATTAAAGGTACAAATTCTCAAATTTTACCACCATCAAATACTACAGATTTAAACTGGTTAAAATTTTTAGGATTAAACTCAACATTTGATTTCATAAATAGTGATGAAAAAACTTTCACATATGCTAAAAAATTATCAAAATTAATTAAAACTTCATTAACAAATCCAAATTTAAGAACTACAGCTTTAATAAGTTCATTAAATCGTAATGTTGGTAAATCATTTATTGTGGAAAATTTAGCATTACAATTAGGTATCCCATTAGCAATTATTGATGGATATGATGTTTTAAATCCAGGTTCTGAATTGAAAACTATTGGTACATTACAAGGTAAATTAAATAAATATGTTGATAATTGCAAGTCAGTTATTATATTTATTAAACATATTGAAGCTTTAAATTTTAAGAAAGATCAACAAGATTTAAAACCAAGTCCTGCCACTACGGGTATTACAAAATTAATCAATGAATACACTTCAAAAGGTGTTGTATTTATAGCTTCAACAAATGATGCTGATAGTCTTGCAGATGAAATTAGATCAAGTTTTAGATTTGAAATTGAAGTCCCAGTGCCATCAGAAGAAGAACGTAAACAAATTTTCCAATATTTATTTAAATTAAACCATAATTATAATTTAAGAAATGATGTTTCAATAAATTCTTTAGCTTTACAAAGTGCAGGTTTAACACCAAGAGATTTAATTTCAATTTTTGAATGTGCTAAAAATTTGGGGTTTGATAGATTAGATGAATTATCACAAAATTCTCAAATCGATATAAATCATTTGATTAATCATAATCCAATTAAATTAATACCCCAAGATTTTGAAAAAGCTATAAATGATGCAAGAAATAAATTTAGTGATTCAATTGGTGCACCAAGAATTCCAAATGTTACATGGGATGATATTGGTGGATTAGATATGGTTAAAGGTGAAATTTTGGATACTATAGATATGCCATTAAAACATCCAGAATTATTTAGTAATGGAGTTAAAAAAAGAAGTGGTATTTTATTTTATGGTCCACCAGGTACAGGTAAAACATTATTAGCTAAAGCAATTGCAACAAATTTTTCATTAAATTTTTTCAGTGTTAAAGGTCCAGAATTATTAAATATGTATATTGGTGAATCTGAAGCAAATGTTCGTAAAGTTTTCCAAAGAGCAAGAGATGCAAAACCATGTGTTGTGTTTTTCGATGAATTAGATTCAGTTGCACCTAAAAGAGGTAATCAAGGTGATTCTGGTGGTGTTATGGATAGAATTGTTTCTCAATTATTAGCAGAATTAGATGGTATGAGTGGTGGTGATAGTGGTGACGGAGTTTTCGTTGTTGGTGCTACAAATAGACCTGATTTATTGGATGAAGCCTTGTTGAGACCTGGTAGATTTGATAAAATGTTATATTTAGGTGTTTCTGATACACATGAAAAGCAAGAAAAAATTTTAGAAGCATTAACAAGAAAATTTAAAATGGATACAAAAATTTCATTGAAATCTATAGCTGAAAGTTGTCCATTTAATTTCACAGGTGCAGATTTTTATGCCTTAGGTTCAGATGCAATGTTAAATGCAATGACAAGAGTTGCAAATGATGTTGATAATAAAATTGCAACGTATAATCTTGATAAGAAAGATCCAGTGTCAACAAGATGGTGGTTTGATAATGTTGCAACTCAAGATGATATTACTGTTCTTGTTAATGAAGTTGATTTTGATAAGGCAAGACGTGAATTAACTCCAAGTGTTTCAGCAGATGAATTAGCTCATTATAGTAGAGTTCGTGAAAATTTCGAAGGTGGTAAAACTTCAAAATGATATGATATTTAGTATAGTTATTTTTTTAATCCTTGAATATAGTTAAAGACTTCCAATTTGCCGTTTGTGCAGCGTCCCAATTTTGTTCATCAATTTCAACTTGTAGATTATTCCATCTTAACCAAATATCTAATTTTGAATTCAATCCACCACCTTTTTCAATTGGTTCACCAAATTTTTCAACAAATTTTTGACCTGTAAAATTTTTTGTAATTTCGAAAGGTAATTCCAAATCATCATTGATTGATTTGAATTTCCGATCTTTTATGAAAAAATCAATTGAATCTAAAATTCCATTAATAAAAGTAAATGATAATCCATCTTTATAAAAATTGTATGAAATTGAATCTTTAAACTCTCTAACTTCTGCAGTGTCTAAATCTAATTTGATAGACTTTAATAACGAATTGAACTCATCACTTTCTTTTGAATAGCCTATAGTACCAAACCAATCCGTAGCACCAGTCATAGTTCACTTCTTCAAGGCATAAATCATCAGTTTAAACCTTTTGATATAATTGAAATTAATTTTTGTATTAATTTCGAGATTCCTAGACCCACCCGTAATAGACTAGGTCCTTTTATTGCAGCCTAGAGTCCTAAATCCAGTCAGGCCTAGACCCGATGTTGTTCATTAATTGAGAAGCTTTCGCATCATAACTAGAGCTGGGAATTGAGTCCATTTTCGCGGAAATTTACCGCGAATTGAGCCGAGAATCACGATTTGGACTCATGAATCAAGGTTGGACTCATGAATCTGAATCAGCATTTTTGGACTCATGAATCAATTCGCGAAAGCTTATATATAGTAAATAGTATGGGAGAAATTAGAGAAAGTAAATTATTTCTGAATTTAATTATCGAATATATACCCAAAAGGGTAAGTGTCCCAATTAGGAAAGGTTATTGTGTATGCCAGACTCATCCTTGATTCATGCTGGACTCATGAGTCCATCTTGATTCATGAATCTGAATCAGGGAAAAGTTGATTCAATTCCCAGCTCTAATCATAACTCATAATCATAATAGCCATAATATAAGCAGTACATGAAATACTAACGGTTATTTGTGACTATGTATATTTGTTTCTAGAATCAGGCTTTGATCCTTTATTGTTAAGTTGTCGTAGATAATTCGTAGATATGTACTGATCGGCCTTTAATGGGATGATGCACCGATGCACCATATGTATGTGAGAATTTTTTTTTGCCTTTTTAATATTTTTCACCCGTTTCTATAAAACGAAGAGGAAGCTGAAGGACCACTAAAAGGCTTGGAGAGGACTTATATTTCGATGTTGAATCATTATAATACCGCTTAGGCTTGTTCCAATTGGCTATGTACAGCTCGTGAAAATTTGAATTATTTCAAGAAAGTATAATGTTGGTCAGCCTTGTGATTGGATTACGGTGTTGATTTAAGCTTAAATGGTGACACATCTTTAAAGATTGCTACCATATATCCATTTGAACATTAATGCAGATCTATATGATATTCACTTCTGGCTTCAGTCTTGAAAACACTGGGTATAAAATACAAGACTGCTCCCCCAAAATCTTATCTGATTAATCTTTAATTTGTATGGTGATTTGTGAATCATTGGTTTCAAATGGGGTCGTATGTTCTTTATTATTAAAAGATGTTACATATCACTACATGGATTCCGCAAAAAAATAAAGATTTTTCAAGTTTAAATCACCGTTAAATGCTCTTATTTTCCATGATTTATGCATAAATTTCTTTTCTTGGTGATATTATAACGGTTTTATAATCCATTTTAAGCTTATTTTCATTATGCATATTACATGAATTCATAACCTAAAAAGTGATAAAATCCGTCTTTTAATCAATTTCATCAACATTATATATACATCTGGTTAAACCTTTGGTATTTCTTCAAGGGAATTATACAATTTAACACCCAACTTCCAAGAGATCTCTTTTTTATCTTTTGAATCAGGTGAAAGATGGGGTTAATTAATAGATTCCGTACAACAAGGTTATCAAAAACTGAAAGTATTTCAATTAATAGTTCAGATGATAAACCTTTAGATTTGGAATTAAATGATGTTAGTGATAAAACAAAAGAAGTTACAACTTCTAATCAAGTCCATGATCAAACTTCAGATCAATTAGATGATGTTGAAATTGATAAGGACTTACAACATGGTGTTAAAACAATTGAAGCTACTGCTGTTGCATGGTCTAAAAGATCATTAATTGGTGTATTCATTTCAATTTGGTTTGTCTATTTATTGAATGCATTCCAATCTTCTACTGCTGGTAGTTTAGATTCTTATGTTGTTAGTGATTGGGGTGAACATTCTTTATTGACTGTTATTTCTGTTGTTTCAAGCTCAATGACTGCTGCTGTTTTCATTCCTTTAGCTAAATTCTTGGATTTATTTGGAAGAGCTGAAGGTTATTTATTAATGGTTGGATTTTGTGAATTAGGTTTGATTTTAATGGCTTGTAGTCATGATTTATCAACTTATTGTGCTGCAAATGTTTTCTATAATGTTGGTTTCACAGGGTTAATCTATAGTATTGATGTTGTTACTGCGGATGCTACACAATTGAAAAACAGAGCTTTAGCTTTTGCATTCACTTCATCTCCTTATATGATTTCTGCATTTGCAGGTTCTTATGCTGCTGAAAAAATGTTGGAAACTATAGGTTGGGCTTGGGGTTTTGGTACATTTGCATTTATAACTCCTGTTGTTTGTGCACCTTTATACTTGATTTTAAAATATAATTTAAGAAAAGCTAAAAAAAATGGTATTTTGGAAAGAGAACCAAGTGGACGTACAATTCCTCAAAGTATTAAACATTATATTATTCAATTTGATGCGTTAGGGGTGTTTTTATTTGCTTCAGGTTTGATTATTTTCCTTTTACCTTTTAATATTGCAGCATCTGCACCAAATGGTTGGTCAACTGGTTATATTATTGCAATGATTGTTGTTGGATTTGTATTATTAGTTCTTTTTGGATTAAATGAATTTTATTTAGCTCCAGTTCCATTTATGAAACATAAATTTTTCGCTAATAGAACTTTAATTGGTGCATGTTGTTTAGATTTTACTTATCAATTATCTTATTATTGTTGGAATTCATATTTTACATCTTTTTTACAAGTTGTTAATTATTTAACCGTGGCAGAAGCTGGTTATATCAGTCATACATTTGATATCGTTTCAGGTGTGTTATTATTCATTGTTGGTTATGGTATTCGTAAAACTGGTTATTTCAAATGGTTATTATGGGTTGGTTTACCATTATATATACTTGCACAAGGTTTGATGATTTATTTCAGAAGACCAACAGGTTATGTTGGTTATATTGTTATGACCCAAATTTTCATTTCTGTTGGTGGTAGTGCTTTCACTATTTGTATGCAATTGGCAGTTTTAGTAGCTGTTGATCATCAATATATTGCAGCAGCTTTAGCTATGCTTAATGTTACAGGTACTGTTGGTGGATCAGTTGGTTATACTATATCAGGTGCTATTTGGACAAATTGTTTTGAAAAAGCATTGGAAAGATTTTTACCAGAATCTGCACTTGATGCAGTAGCTGATATTTATGGTGATATTGAAGTTCAATTAAGTTATGAAAAAGGTTCATTAGAAAGAATAGCTATTCAAAAAGCTTATGCTTATGCACAAACAAGAATGCTTGCTGCTGGTACTGCTATTATGGCTTTAGGTTTCATTTGGGTTGCACTAATAAGAAACTATAAAGTTTCTGAAATGAAACAAAACAAGGGTAATTTGTTTTAGAATCGTTTATGTATATACAATAATAATATAATTATGTTTATGAGAGATTCTAGTGTAAAAATGTGTCAAAGAGTTTATACTGATTACATAATATCCTTGATTTTGTGTGTCCTTTTCCATTTTCCGGGATACTTTTCAAATTTCGAGCTTTTCGCGAATTTTTCCATTTTCAAATTAAATCAAAAGTGAGGATTTATAAAATCAGTTTGGTTTCTCCAAAAAAATAGTTCAAAACGAGTTCTTTTGAATTTGATCATTAGTTGATATTTTATCTGATTTATCTGTTTGAATTCATAGCTTATTGAACTGTTTAGTCACAATGGTCACTTCAAACTATGCTCAGAAACCGTTTGATCCAATCACGGTCAAACCAAATGATAACAAGAGTGAGTTTTGATATCTTTTTAGTAATGGCGATTTGTGATTGAGAAGTATACTAACAGATTATACCTAGGAGTTGCTTATTTCTACGATGGTAAGTCTAACTGATGGATATATGATATATAATTGGAGTGAAGGGGATATACTAACAATTTTGATAGCCGATGTTGGTAATTATGCTTATGGTGCTGGACATCCAATGAAACCACATAGAATAAGAATGGCACATTCATTGATTATGAATTATGGGTTATACAAGAAAATGGAGATTTATGTATGTACAATATAGCGGATGAAGTCCTTGTGATATTATACTAACAATTATTTCAATAGAGAGCTAAACCTGCTACAAAGCAAGAAATGTGTCAATTTCATACAGATGAATATATTGATTTCCTTTCAAGAGTTACACCAGATAATTTAGATATGTTCCAAAAAGAAAGTGTTAAATTCAATGTTGGTGATGATTGTCCAGTTTTCGATGGTCTTTATGAATATTGTGGTATTTCTGGTGGTGGTTCAATGGAAGGTGCTGCAAGATTAAATAGAGGTAAATGTGATATTGCTGTTAATTATGCTGGTGGGTTACATCATGCTAAAAAATCAGAAGCTTCAGGTTTTTGTTATTTAAATGATATTGTCTTGGGTATAATTGAATTATTAAGATATCATCCAAGAGTTTTATATATTGATATTGATGTTCATCATGGTGATGGTGTTGAAGAAGCTTTTTATACCACTGATCGTGTTATGACTTGTTCTTTCCATAAATATGGTGAATTTTTTCCAGGTACTGGTGAATTAAGAGATATTGGTGTTGGTAAAGGTAAAAATTATGCAGTTAATGTTCCATTAAGAGATGGTATTGATGATGGTACTTATAAATCTGTTTTTGAACCTGTGATATCCAAGATTATGGAATGGTATCAACCTTCTGCTATTGTTTTACAATGTGGTGGTGATTCTTTATCTGGTGATCGTCTTGGTTGTTTCAACTTATCAATGAAAGGTCATGCAAATTGTGTTAATTTTTGTAAATCTTTAGGTGTTCCATTAATGATTTTAGGTGGTGGTGGTTATACAATGAGAAATGTTGCAAGAACTTGGGCTTTTGAAACTGGGTTATTAAATAATGAAATTTTAGATTTGGATTTACCTTATAATGATTATTATGAATATTATGGTCCAGATTATAAATTAGATGTTAGACCTTCAAATATGTATAATGCAAATTCTCCAGAATATTTAGATAAAATCATGACTCAAATTTTTTCAAATTTAGAAAGTACTAAATTTGCTCCAAGTGTTCAAATTAATGATGTTCCAAGAGATGCTGAAGATCTTGGTGATGAAGATGAAGATTTACCAGATGCTATTGATACTAAAGGTGGTTCACAATTTGCAAGAGATAACATAATAACGCCAAAAACTGAGTTCTATTAAATTCGTTTCATTCATTGATGTTTGTTTTATTAATTTAGATTAATTTTATGTGTACAATAAAAAATTATATGTTCAAAGAAAATTGTTTTAAAAATTGTCACTACGTAGTTGAATATTACATTAATAATTCAATAATTGTGTGTCTAAATGTGCTCCAGAACTAGGCGTAGTTTAGAAACTAAATCAGTTCTAACATTAAGCCAATGTAAAAGAGTACTATTGTGGCATAGGTTATAATATAAGTGCAATCAGCTTAATAATGATTAGTTTCTATGTCGATAATTGCACAAGTTTATGAACCATAATTTTAATCCCAGAACCAAGTAGCTAAAGTGTCACCAGCAAGGCATATCACCAGCGGAGGCAAAATTATTATTCTCAACTTGATAATTATATGTTGAATCTAAACTTTCGGGATCTATCATTATAACCCATCATACCTTCCTTCACCTTCAACCATGAAATGAGGTTTGATTGGAACAATAGAATAACAGGTATTTTATGTATCTTTTCCAATGGCTGGTTGATATAAATTAGCTTTCATGCAATGAAATCTATAAAATTCAAAAACTCGAAATCTTGTTTTTGTAGAAAAAATGGGATTTGGCTTTTCGATGTGAGTTATGCACTTATATGCATGCATGAATAGTTAGATACATGATGATTGATTTTTTATACGATCGAGAAAGTTATCAAAGATTCAAGAATCACGAAAGAAATGAGTTTGCTTTGGAAGATGGTGTGTTTTAATCATGGTTAAAGTTCCCCGTGAGAGTTTAAATAGTATGAGAAGCAACAGTATTACGTTCAAGAAAGAAGTTATATAGGTTTAAAGGTGGCTGAATCTATACCTATTTTATAGTTGAATATGACAAAGTAACACAAGTATAACTTGTTACGATTTGAGTTAGTTTTAGGGGGAGTATAACAGTATAACCATTAAAATATCCCTTATACGCTATATTTCAAGTTATGGCTTCAAAATTTTGAGCCAGCAAATTGACTCAAAGCGGAGCACAAATCAAGGGTGAACAAATAGTATATGAGTCAAAAATCCAATAACTCTATTAGTGAAAAAAGTTCACCTTGTTTTCTCATGATTAGCACTTGTCACTAATTTACATCGATGTTTCTTAAGTTCAAGGTTTGTACTTTGTTCTTAATAAGTGCTATAAGATTAACTATATTAAATCACCAAGGTGATAATCCTGGGTCCATTGACTCCATTCACCTAAGGGGTTGGAGACCGCAAACTTTATTCGTAAACAACAGCCCTCTCCAGAAAGCTCTGGTGTATGATTATTAAATTAAACTAGTGTTAAGAGCAAGTTTGGTATGTTTATGGACCCTTTTTGGATACCTCGAGTGTACCTTTGAATCTCTTTACGGTGACACGGTGACTTCATTGCGAACGTAGTTGTTCGATTTGGATTCTTAAGAAATTACATTACTATCTGATCCTTAAGCTATCACCTTTAATCTATCTCTTCTGTATTCAAGAATAAAGATATACCGTTCATCTCACAGAATACTTACTGATCACGGATACTCAAGGTCAGACAATAAATTACAGACCTTGATCTTTCAAAACTCATCTCATCAAAAATCTTCATACAAATGACAGGTTAATAAATCAAGTGCTGGCTATCACGCACTTCGCACAGTATTTAGGTTCAATCACCATAGCAAGCCACATGTATAATATGCTTATTAGTGGGTTGAGTTAAACCAAAACGTTTTGAATGTTTATATCTCATGTGCTCAGATCTAAGATTGCATCCTGTGGATAAAATATTGCTGGAAATTTTGAGCGCGTTGTACGGAGGAAATTCTACTAGGCTTCAGTTCCCTGGCGTGTTTTTTGATACTCTTGTTGTAAGATAGACATATCTATATAAAATCATCATTGTAGATATATCCCATATAATTCGAATGTTGAGTCTGTTTCTTTCAAAATCCAGATTCTTCTTTTTATCACCATTTCCGCAAATTTCTTTTTAAGGAAAGAAACAAGATATAATTTATGCGTTTCGTACACTCTTGTGCGTATAGATACATCAAAATCGCACAAACAGTAGATAAAGTCCATGCGAGATGCGGTACTAAATATGACCAGTGCATTCAAAAGTAAATTATTAATAACCTCTTTTAGGAAATGGTGTCAACATTAAGTTTTTAGATACATCTTTATAGCGTTTCAATCGTGTCTAGTACTTAATCTCGATGAGATTTTCAATTCATCTAGCGTATATCGACTCTTTTGAATTTGATGTATATAAAGACACGTTGATCCCTGTGATTATTCTTTGTAGATCGTACTCATTTTAATCTTCATTATCTATCCCCATTTCTTCATTTGATATTATAGAATAATGGTGTCTTTTAAAGCAGTCACAGCTTTAACAGCGTTAGCTTCAGCAGCTAGTGCTCAATACTTCAACTCCTCATCAGGTAGTATATCCATTTCTTCATTATCTGAATCAGACTCATTTATTTATTCACCAACTTCATCTGGATCTTCATCAGTTGCTTCATCTTCAAGTTCTTCTTCAGCAAGTAGTACACCAAGTACAGATGGTATTACAAATATTGAGGTTTTCGATGCTTATACAGGTTCTGCTACCTCAAATTCCAGATTCCATTGGTTTACAATCAAGGTTGATGTTGAAAAAAGACAAGGATCTTCTTCAGATATTACATTCACTTTACCAGATTCATTCAGAGGTTTCCCAGAAAGTGATATTGATGTTTTACAAGATGGTGAAACTGTTGGTACTTTGACTAGTAGTGGTAATGATTTCACATTTGATTTTGCTGATGATTCAATAGTTGATACAAGTGTTACATTCACTGCTTTACTTACGGATTCTGCTATTTCTTCAATTGATTCACCAAAATTACAATCCTTCAATTTTGATTCATCTTCAGGTTCTTTTGAAAGTCAAATCCAGTTTGTTCCAAGAGACTTGACCACTGTTGGTAAGAACGCTGGTAATGATGGTGAAAAAGTTTGGTGGACTGTTGATATTCCAGCCCAACTTTACCATGGTTCATTCGACTTCAACTCTGAAGTTTCAGAAGGCTACCAATTCTTACCGGAATTACTCAAGGTTGAAATTGTCACCGGTTTGGATTCTTTCAACAACAAATCTTATTCTTCTGACGCCTCCACTGCTGATTACATCGTCAACGCTGATTCCAGCTCATTGGTATTGAGTTATACAGGTGCTGCTATTGATGGTGCTTTCTTGAGAATCACATACTTTGCTGCTCCAGGTAACTTGGTGTTCTGGCCAAATGAAGCCCTTATCGGTTTAGCTCCAGCTTCAGGATTGTCAAAGAGAGATACTGTTTACTCATTGGAAGATAATTACAATATTGTTGCTGTTGCTAACGCTGCTTCTACTGCTGCTTCTTCTGATGTTGATGCTTCATCTTCTATTGCGGGTGCTGGTGATGTTACCTCTTCTTCTTCTGGTTTAAGCTCTATTTCTGCTTCTGCTTCTGCTTCAAGCTCTGATTCAAGCTCTATTTCTGGCTCAAGTTCTATTTCTGGTTCAAGCTCTGATTCAAGTTCTGATTCAAGCTCTATTCCTTCATCTGCTATTTCTTCTTCCGTTGCAAGCTCTGATTCAGGTTCTATTTCTGCTTCTGATTCAAGCCCTGGTTCTGATTCTGGTTCTGGTTCTGATTCAAGCTCTGCTTCTGCTTCAAGCTCTGCTTCAAACTCTGACTCTGTTTCTGTTTCTGTTTCTGTTTCAAGCTCAATTTCTGCTTCTGCTTCTGCTTCTGCTTCCAGTTCTGGCTCAATTACATCTGCTGCTTCATCGGTTTTAAATACAGGTTCAGATAAAGCTTCTAGTACTTTAACTAGTGTTTCTACAGTCACTTCAACAAGTGATGATGGTCAAGTTGTTACTTTTGAAACCACAAAAACTTATATTGGTACTTCATTAATTGTTTCTGTCTCCTCAGGTGAATTCACTACCATTACTACTTTGATTCCAATCGGTGGTGCTTCTTCAGTTGCTACTGTCACAGGATCAGATGGTGATGTTGAAACTTTGACTACTATTGTCGATCCATCAAATACCGGTGCTTCTTCTTCAAATGCTGCTAATACTCAAGTTATCACTTCAACAAACTCAGCTGGTAAACCAACAACATATACCACTACACATTCAAGTGGTGAAGTTGCTACTTTGACTACAACTGGTACTGATGGCAAACCAACAACTTTAACTACAACTTATGGCGCTGGTGCACCAGCTCATACTTATGTCACATTTGGTACTACTGATTCAGAAGGTCATTCAATCACAGCTACTGGTGAAATCATTAAAACTACAACTATTACAAATGGTCATTTAGTTACTTTAACTACTACCTATTGTCCATTGACTGATACAAAATCAATTCCAACCGTCACTGCTGCTCCTGTTCATGGTGGATCTGCTGTTACATTTACTAAAACTGGTGCTGATGGTAAACCAACTGCTTATGTTGGTGAACAATACACTACAACTGTTACACATACCAATGGTAATATTGTTACCTTAACTACTACATACTGTCCATTAACTGCTGAAACTGCTTCAACTTCAATTCCAACTGTTACTGCCGCTCCAATTCATGGTGGTTCAGCTGTTACTTTCACCACTACAGGTGTTGATGGTAAATCAAGTGTTTTCGTTGGTGAAGAATATACCACCACTATTACACATACCAATGGTAACATTGTTACATTAACTACTACTTATTGTCCATTAACTGCTTCATCAGGTGCCGTTAAAACTACAAGTATTGCATCGGGTGCTGCTACTACTGCTATTCCAACTGTTACTTTTGCTCCTGTTCATGGTGGTTCAGCTGTTACATTCACAACAACTGGCTCTAATGGTAAATCAACAGCTGTTATTGGTGAAGAATATACCATTGTTACTAAGACCAATAACAACATTGTCACATTAACTACTACTTATTGTCCATTAAGTGATGTTCAAGAAACTTCAGCTCCAACTAATGGTATCCCAATTACTTTCACATCAACTGGTTCAAATGGTGAAACCTCAATTGTTACTGGTCAAATTGTTGAATCCACCTCAACTGGTTCAAACGGTGATGTTACTATCATCTCCTCTGTCTATGTTCCATCAGTTGCTGCTACTACTACTGCTGTTGAATCTGTTAACAATGTTGCTCCTGCTGGTTCAACTGGTTATGTTGTTGTTGATACAACCACAAACAATGAAGGTCAACCAATTTATTATACCTCAATTGCTTCAGTTCCAGCTGCCCAAGGTTCTGGTAGTGAAACCGCTGTTATTGTTCAAACTTCAAATGGTGTTGCTGAAACATTTACCACTGTTATTCCACCAGCTCAAGCTACTGCTGTTCAAGCTCAACAATCATCTGCTGATTCAACTGAAACTGTTGGCCAAGTTGTAACACAAACTCAAGCTTCAGGTTCAAACGGTGAAACTTTAGCTTCTTCTGTTGGTTCAGGTTCTTCTGAATCATCAGCTCAAGGTTCATCAGTTGCTGCTATCTCAACATATGTTGGTTCAGGTATGTCCCTAAAATCATCTAGTTTCTTGATGATTTTAACTTCAGGTTTATTTTACTTGTTATGATTTAATGGTTTAATGTTCTTTTGGTTTTTATTTATTATTAATTTTTTTCGCTATTTCAATTTCTTTCGGTTTGGTATACAAAACTTCTTATACATTAATGTTGTTAATATTTTAATTCAATCTTCTATTATATATTATATATAGCTCTAAACTTTTAATTCATACGTTTAGATCCATGATTTATATATTTACTTTTCTGTAGAGCTTTATAACTGTATTATCAACCCTTTTCTTCTTCAGAAAAAAAGTATTCATGGGTCAATTGAATGTTGATGTATTAACACAAATTGAAATTATTTATTGCGAATAATTTCCTATGTATACTTATATTGATTATGTAAGCAAAAGAATAATATAAATTAAAGGGAAATTTTGCAAATATAAATATGATTTAAATAGACTCTTATAGGTAAAAGTACATTAATAAGGTATTTATTGCACTGATATATTACTTTAATTATATCAAAAAGATCAAAATTGCTTAATTTCAAATTTTGAAATTTATATACCTCGATAATTTAATTAATTTTACTTCAAAATTAAGAAAATTCAAAAACAAAAAAAAAAGATCCCCAAAATCTTACTTTTTCTACAGGCACAGATATTATTGGGCTTTAAAAACGATATAAATGATATAAAAACAATATGTTACTTATAAAAGTTTCAAAAAAAAAAGCATTTTAGAAATATGCCATTGAAAAAAAAATCGGGCCGAGCAGGGAATTGAACCCTGGGCCACTCGCATGCTTGTGGATATTAGATTGAGTGAACCCAATCTTCGCCCAAAGCGAGTATCATACCACTAGACCACACGGCCGAATTGTTGAGTTTGTAAAATGGCTTGTTTATCAGGTTATGAAAAAATAAAAGAAAAATGCTGACTAAGCATTTTTGAAATACTATATCTTTTTCATTATTTAATGCAATCAAATGAAGTCAAAATTAGTTCAGATACTGTTGAGAGTGATATCTTATAGGTAGCATATCTATATTTGACTTTAATTTGGTTTTTTGGGCACTAAGCTTTGTGTTTTTGATAGTTTCTGCTTTGATTATAAATTTAACCAGAACTTGAAAACATATATAACTGTGCTTTAGCCTATTTCTTTTTAAACTGATAATTGAATAATCATGGATAATGTTATATAGTGGATGATTGCTTGTATTGATATGTGACTTTTATATTTCTAGGATTTGAAATCATTCTTAATGTGTCAAACATAGTTGACGTGATCTGAACATCTTTGAATTGATTGTTTAAGGCTCACAAGATGGTCAGTCAACCAAACATCACAGTAATTTGAACAACGATCCAGATCTCAAATACTTGGAAAGCCAAGGAGATTCAAATAGATCACAAAGTAATTTTTTGTAAACCCAAAATTCAATTTTATTCAATTGAAAATTTTAGATCGGATCAATTTTGTATTACACAGCATTACATAATACACTTTCTCGAGACGTCCGACAAAATCAATTATACCCTCAACAATTCAACGGTTCAACAACGTCCTTAAAAGATCATTTTATAATATTTGTCTATTTAAACTTTTAACTGTTTCAAGTGACACTATAGATATACGGATACCAAAATGGCTGTTAAAGGATTAGGTGAAATCGATCAAGAATATGATGGTGAGTAATACATAAACAAATCAACTATAAAAATCATGGGGCGTTATAAGTTTTTGTATACTAATTTAATTGACATATAGGTTCAAATTTAAAAATTGCCATTGTTCATGCTCGTTGGAATGCACATATCATTAAAGCTTTAGTTGATGGTGCTATTAAAAGATTAACTGAATTGGGTGTTAAAGAAGAAAATATCTTTGTTGAAACTGTTCCAGGTTCATTTGAATTACCATTTGGTACTAAAAAGATCATTTCTAAATTAGCTAAACAAGGCATTCAATTAGATGCAGTTATTCCAATTGGTACTTTAATTAAAGGTTCCACTATGCATTTTGAATATATTTGTGATTCAACTACTCAAGGTATAATGAGATTAAATGAACAATTAGATATTCCAATTATTTTTGGTGTCTTAACTTGTTTAACTGATTTACAAGCTGAACAAAGAGCTGGTTTACAACCAGGTTTACATAACCATGGTGAAGATTGGGGTGCTGCTGCTGTTGAAATGGCTGTTAAATTTGGTAGACAATATTAAATTTAGCGAGTTGAGTTATAACTACACTATATAACCTACTTCATGAAATTAATACGAATTTGATTATATGATATGCAAATATATTAAATGTAAATTAAGATTATAACACCACACGAGCATTACGAGCATTTTTCTTTCGTAGTTGTCTAAGAACATCTCTTTTTCTTCTTTTAAATTCTTTTGTCCATTCACTTCTTTTATCCCAAAATTGATTTTCCCATTCTTCAAAATTAACATTTGTATTTAATTTATTTAATTGAGTTTGTGCAACCAAGAAAGGAGAATCAAAATGTGGGAAAAATAACCCTTTTTTATTTTTCAATTTTGGTGCAATTATTGAAGTTATATTACTTTCTGGGATTATGACATCATCTGCAACAGTTTTTTTAGATTGATCAATATCATCATCAGATTCTTCGATAAGTTTAAATGTTCCTTGATCTTCTGTATTGAATAATGTACGTAATGTTTCAGTGTTACTGATTGTACCTTCAGAAACTTGTGGTACTTTTTCTTTTTCTTCTTCTTCTTCTTCTTCTTCAGGTTTTGATGCACCAAATGTGGGTATGAATTCATGATCTTCATCTTCATTTTCTGGAATATCTTGTTCTTCTTCTGGTTGATCAATATCCATTTGATCTTGCTCACCTTCTTCATCTTCTTCATCATCATCATCAAAATTCACAGTTTTCTCATTAGCAAATTCACCTTCTTTAACATATTCAACTTGATTATTAACAACTTTGTTTTGATTCTTATATGTATCTTCATCACTTTCATCGTCATCTTTAAAAGCTCCTTCATATTCGTAATCAGAATGACCAAATTCTTCATTATCATCATCATTCAATTCCATAGGTTTATCAAAATCAAAAGTTCCCAATAATGAAGCTAAAACTTTATTGTTTTTTTCTTGTTCATCTTCATCCATATCTTCATCATCTCCTAAATCTTTTAATAATAAATCATCTCTATTAATATTTGAATCATCATCGATTTTTTCAATTGTTAAAGTTTGACCATTTTGACTTGTTAAACGTAATGGAGTTGTTAATCTTTCCACTATATGATCATTCCCATCTTTCCAAACATTATGTGAGAATTTATAAACAAGATCTCTAAGAGGTTTATTTTTTTCATAACCCCAAAGTTTTGTTTTAAAACATCTAATAATCTTGGTTTCACCATTAAATTTAACTCTAAATGTCATTTTTTTAAAATCTTTCTTTCTTTGATTTCTCATACGACCATGTATTATTTCTTGTTGATCTTTAAAAGTTTTATTGATATTTTGTAATTTTTTCCAAAATTCATATTGTTTTTTAATATTTTTAGCTTGAATAAATTCATTAGGTCTATTATGATCTTTTTCCCATCTTGATTCAAAATTTTCTTTAGCTATATCAATGACCAATTTAGATCCTTTATAATTGACACCATTCAAGGCATTTTTCAACCTAGTATAGTCCTTATCACCCAATTCAATATCTAAAAAGCCAAATGATAACCCTTTAACTTCATTATGGTGTAATTCTAAATCTGATTTAATAGAGCCAAATTTTGATATTCTATCTTGTACATCACTAGGATTTTCTGCTAATGCCTTGGAAATGTTCCCAATAAACAAACGCCTTATCTGGAGCTCAGGTTCTTGAACACTCATAACTATCTTTTTTTGAATGACCGTAGCACTAATGTCCTCGGGCAAAGTGATCAATTTCTTCTTAAATTATGAAACTCACAACTATTTAATACCCATGATAATTTAATTTAGTATAATAAATTTATTTTTCATGCGATGCCCTCCAAAAATACCGGGTAACACATTCGCGAATCATGGAAAATTCAGAATCGTCGTTTTGATTTCAATCAAACAAATCAACAACAACAATTTGAATACTTTTTTGGACTTGAATTGTGATCTTTTAGTGGTCTTTTAATCGCTGAATTGCTGCTTGTTGTCTTCTGGAAGGACTGCTGCTGCTGCTACGATGTCAAAAGTGGAAAAAGTGGATGAGAATGTGCTGGGCGCGTCGTTCTATCTCAAGGGCGAACAGGCCAACAGCACCGTTGAAGTGCCAATGAATGATTCGAACGAGGTGGTGACAATTGATCTTGAAGAAGAATTGCCTGAAGATCCTACAGATTTGTGTACTTTGCTAGAGAACGAACATGCTGCTCCTCATTATTGGCTATTGATTGCTGCTGTTTATGCTAATAAGAGTTTAGTTAATGAAGCCATGGAAGTTATTACAACTGGGTTAAATCTGTATCAAAATTCAGAATCAGCTCCTTTCCATACCTTCTTATCATGGTTGAATCTTAGACAATCTAAATCAAGTATAGAAAGTTCAGAAGATAATCAATTTTTGAAAAAAGCTGCTGATAGTCTTAAGATTGCATTACAATATCAACCTCATTATATCTTGAATAGATTAGCTCGTGCTGAAATCACATATCAACAAGGTCAATATGACCAAGCTCTAGATTATTTTGAACGTATCTTAAAATTAGATGTCAAATCAGATTCAAATGTTTATGCCCTTTTGGGTAAGGCTAAAACTTTATACAATAAGAAGAATTATCAAACATCATTGAAAACTTTCCAACAAATTTTAATTTTAAATCCTTTATTAAAACCAGATCCAAGAATTGGTATAGGTTTGAATTTCTGGAATTTAAAAGATAAAAAGATGGCTACAAAAGCATGGGAACGTTCATTAGAAATTGATCCAGAAAATGAAGTTGCTAAATTATTAATAGTATTATCCAAATTTGATAGTTCATTTGACTCTTTAACTGATGATGATTTCATTTCAACTTATACAAAAGCATTAGAATCTCTACAGACATTAATCAAAACAACACCAGAAAATCCAGTCCTTTTATTATTATTAGCAAGTTATTATTATTCCAAAAATGATTTAGATTCAGTTTTGAAAATTTGTGAAAAAGTTCTTCAAAAGGGTAATTTATCATCAAATTTATCATCTGATGCAAATTTTTGGATTGCAAGAGTACATTTTGAACGTGAAGATTTTAGTAATTCAACAAAATTCTTTGCAGAATCATTAAAATTAAATTCTGATAATTTATTAGCCAAGTTAGGTGTTGGACAATCACAAATACAAAGAGGTTCAATTGAAGATTCTATAATAACATTTGAATCAATTTATAATAATAATCAAAAAATCTTGGAAATTGATTATATATTGGGTATTTTGTATGCTCAAGATGAAAAAAATCATCAAAAGGCTATTGCAGCATTAGAAAAATATATTAGATTATCTAAAGATAAAAATGAACCAATTGCTCTTAATACTTATTTAACTTTATCAAAATTATTTGAAAATAAAGATAATTCATTAGCTTTATCACATTTATCCAAGGCATTAGATGTTCTTAAGAAAAGAGGTGAAACTATTCCAATTGAAGTATTGAATAATTTAGGTGTATTCCATTTCATTAAAGGTAATCCAGAATCTGCAAATACATTTTTCGAAAGTGCTCACCAGGCTAATACAGATGAAGATTTGAATATTTCATTAACTTATAATTTAGCAAGAACTCAAGAAAATTCAGATATTCAATCATCAATTGATAAATATAATGAAATTTCTGAAAAATCACCAAGTTATATTTATAGTAAAATTAGATTATTATTTTTAGAAATATTACAAGCTGATGTTAAAAATGATCAAGTATTAGAGGAAAAATTAAATCAATTATTAGAATCTCATGTTTCTAATTTAGAAGTTCGTGCATTTTATAGTTGGTATTTGAAAAGATCAAATAAGGCAAACACTGGTAAAGGTGAAAATTTGGAAAGTAAACATAACAAGGAAACTTTGGTTAAATATGATTCTCATGATACTTATGCTTTGATTTCTTTAGGTAATTTATATTGTTCAATTGCAAGAGAAGTTAAAGGTAAAACTCCACAAGATCTTGAAAAAAAAAATCAATCTTATGTTAGAGGTGCACAATTATTTCAAAAAGTTTTAACAATTGATCCAAATAATGTCTTTGCTGCTCAAGGTATTGCCATTATTTTTGTGGAAAATAAACATTCAACAGTTGCTTTAGAAACTTTTAGAAAAATTAGAGATGCTATTGATGATGTTTCAGTTTATATTAATTTAGGTCATTGTTTAATCGAAGTTGGACAATTTTCCAAGGCAATTGAAAGTTATGAAATTGCATTAAGAAGATATGGTGATGAAACTAAAGATTCAAGATACTTAACATTAGTTGGTAGAGCATGGTTTGCAAGAGCATCAGCTGAAAAATCATTAGAAAGTTATTTAAAATCATTAGAATATAGTGAAAAGGCATTTGAAGTTGCTGAAAATACTAAATTAAAGAAAATTTTACCATCGTTGAAGTATAATATTGCATTTGTTCAATTTAATATTGCCCAATTTATTCAAAGACAAGATATTTCTAAAAGAACCGTGGAAGATATTTCTAAAGCACTTGATGGATTAAAAATTGCTATTGATACTTTGAATGAATTAGCAAATGAAAAATATCCACCATATCCAGCAGATATATTGAAACAAAGAGCTAGTATGGGTTCAAATACTTTAATTAATCAATTAGAAAGAGCCATAAAAGAACAAAAAGATTATGAAACTAAATTTGAAGATAAATTAAAAGCAGCTCAAGAAGCTAGAGAAAAGGAAAGATTAAAAGCTGAATTAGAAGAAGAAAAGAGAAAAGAAGAAGAAGCTGCGAAACAAGAACTATTAAAAGCTGAATATTTAAAACTTCAAGAACAAGCTAAAGAATGGGAAAGAGAACGTGAAGCTTTCATTGAACCTGAAGATGATGAAGATACTGGTAAGAAATCTAAAAAGGGTAAAAAATCTAAGAATGCAATTAATACAGATGATGAATTAAGTGATGAAGATAAACCTGTTAAAAAATCAAGAAAATCAAGTGGTAAAAAATCCAAGAGAAAGAAGGATGAAAATGCTATAAATGGAGATGATGAAGAAGAATCACCAGAAGCTAAAAAGAGAAAATTATCTTCCAAAAAATATAAATCTGCAGATATTATTGAAGATAGTGATGAAGATTTAGAAGATTTCGATGAAAGTAAATTAGGTGATGATAATGAAGATGATGATGCTTTAGAAAAAGCTGAAGCTAAGATAGATGCTCAAGGGGATGAAAAAGAAGGAGATGATCAAGAAGAACAAGAAGATAAGAAAGTGGAAAATGGAGAAGAAAAACAAGACGATGATGATGACGAGGATGGATTATTTTGAATAATCTCTCAATGTTTAATTTGTATTATAGAAAGAAATAAAAAAATCATTGAAAATGATTTATAAATAAAGTTTAGATAAGATTTTGTAAAGAGGATATGTATAAAAAAAATTAATGATTTTCTTTATTAAAATTATGGGTATATATGTAGCAAATTAAAATTTCATAAATTCATGATGATTCATTTTGTAGCCATTTCTTCAAATTTTTATGACTTTCATGTGATATTTTATACAATTGTTTCTCAAATTCATCTAAAGTATATAAAAATGAAGTTTCTTGTTGAGCACCTCTTAAACTTTGAGCATGATTATTAATTTCTTCAGAACGTTCTTTTAACATTTGTTGAACAACATCAACTAATTTTTTATCTGTGTATAATTTCCCCCATTTTTCCACTAATGAGTAATAATGTTGTGAAATTGAATGAATATCAATACTTGTGGGACTTGTTTTAATAGCATTCATAACTTTTGAACCAATTGCTTCAGGTTGTATCATCTCTATGAAAAATGATGATGAATCATCTGATACACTACAGATTGCTAAAATTTCAGCTATCCATATTGGCAATTCTAATTTTGTATCTTTAGCAATCTTTATGAATCTGTTAGTTATTGTCAAGTGGGTGAGTTTTCTTCATAATACATACATTTTTACCAGGATTACCTTCTAGATAACCTAAACCTTTAGCATTAATATTGAATTTACAGGGTATTTTCTATTGGAAATCAGTTAGTTTAAAGCTCAGGAAAAGCTACCAGGGAACAACTCACTTGACCATCACTTATAATATCATCTAGATCGTAATACGACATGTTTTTTTCTTTGACTTTTTGGCTTAAATCTCACTGATCATGTTAATCAAAATATTGAAATTTTACTTATGAAAATAAAACGCGACACCAAAAATTAAAGAAAGTCCCAAAAAAATCCGGACAAAAACATTTCCAGGGAAACGAATGTCTAAAACGCCTGGGACATTTTTAATTTATATAAAGACATTTGAAGATAATTTTATATTCAATTCACTTCCAATTAGACAAATAAAGGACAATTAGATGACTGATATATACTGAATTCAGTTACTAGAGGGCGTAAATATCGATGTTTGTTGCCATTATTCCATTATTCCCCAGATATCCGCGATTCGCACAAACGAATGAAGTGGATATTAAATTTTGATTTCATCTCAATGATTTGTCAACGAATATTTTGATCTTTTGTAAAAGTTATATATTAATCAGAATTCCTCATATATGTGATATTTTATTCAAAGTTCATAAGAGTTTGTCTACCATGGCATTAAGAATGAAATCACAAATCAATACTTTCTTGAAAACTTTGGATATCAAAGTTCCAATAATTCAAGCTCCAATGGCTGGTGCAAGTACTTTGGAATTAGCAGCCATTGTTACTAAAAAAGGAGGTTTGGGATCTATACCACTTGGTTCACATAGTGAAAATCCAGAAGCCGTTGAAACACAACTGTTGAAATTCCAAGAATTAGTTCAAGATGAAAATTTGAAAAGAAATGTTAATTTAAATTTTTTCACTCATGATGTACCAATCCATGATGAAACAAAACATAGTCAATGGGTTCAAAAAATCCATAATTATTATCAAAAGGAAAATATTGAAATTAGCTCCAAAGCTAAGGGATTAAGTGTACCATATCCAACTTTTAAAAGCATTGAAACTGATTCACATCCAGTTATTCAAATATTATTAAAATTGAAACCAAAAGTTATTAGTTTCCATTTTGGATTACCAAATTTACAAGTCTTACAAACATTACAACAATCAGGAATTAATGTCTTCATTTCAGTTACAAATTTAAAAGAATTTAAACAAGTTGTAGAAGCTGGCGTTGATGGTGTTATTTTACAAAGTTGGGAAGCTGGTGGTCATAGAGGTAATTTTATTGCAAATGATCCAAATGATGATAAATTGGATACTGAAGGTTTAGTAAAAGAAATTGTTGGATATATTGATTCAAATTTAAGTGAAAGTGATAAAATTCCATTTTTAGTTGCAGCTGGTGGTCTTTATAATGGTGAATCTATTTCTAAAGTACTTGATTACGGGATCGCTGGTGTTCAATTAGGTACAGTCTGGCTTCAAACCTCACAGGCTACAACATCTCCAATTCATAAAGACTTGTTAACTAAATCAAATCCTGCACCAAAAACAATTATGTCACCTGCAATTTCTGGTAGAAATTTAAGAACTATTGAAACTGACTATTTGAAAGAATTAACATCATCACCAACCCATACTATTCCAGATTATCCATTACCATATTCAATTTTCAAAACATTAGGTGGTGATGCTAAAAATTCAGGCTGTAAAACTTCATATAGTGCATTTTTAGCTGGTTCTAATTATCATTTATCAAGAAGAAATACTAATGATGCAGGTGAAATTTTCGATCAAATTGTTAGTGAATTGAAAGTAAAAGGCTATTAAGTGGTACTATATTTAATTAGAGAATATATAATCCATTATCTATTTTAAAAGCACTATTTATAGTAAATCCATGTAATTCTCCCATAGTTAATACTGACACTTATACTCTGACAGCTTCAAATCTGAGTGTCCAAACCAACAAAAATCGCGACTTGTTTTTTTTTTGTTTTTGTTTTTGTTAAATTTTGAGATTTCCAACATTGTAAACAATGTCAAAAGACTACAAAAACACTAAAGAAAAAGCGTGGAACAAGTTGTTGCTGGTGGTAAATAAGGGCTGCTAGATCATATCAAGGTTATCATAAAGAGCTATATCAATTTTCTCAAGTTCAATCGGGTGTTTATCAGCTGAAATAGGAGGTCATCAATTTTGGAATAAGAAAACCGCGTCTGCTGTATATTTAAGGTGGGTTCATATCATAAGGAAGATTCATTAATTTGTCTCCCCCAGAAGCTCAAGATTTTCAACAAAACAGTCTTTATCACAAGGCAGGACATGCCATGTCACATTCAATAAACAGATTTAACAATTCCCCTTCAAGAAACTTACGATTCAATACATTACCTCAATCATCTAATTCATCAGATCAATTTAAAACAAAAATTCTATCACAAAACAAAGCTTTAGCTAAGAAAAATTCCACTTTAATGACAAAAGTTGCAGATTTAGAGATTAAAATCTCAGAGCTTATACAACAAAATATTGAACTAAGAGCTATCAATGCTAAAAGTGAAGATGAAAAAAGAAGATGGCTTGAAGATAAATTAAATATTATAGAAAATGGTGTTAGTCAAAGATTTGAAGAAATGTTTCAAATGTTTTCCACTATAAGAAATAATGAAGGTTTATCAACATCTTCAATTAATTTACAAAATTTGATACAAAATGTTTCATCATCACAAGATAATTCATTAGAAAAAACAGTTTCATTTAATGATGTTAAAAGTCCTTCCAAGAGTTATATTTCTGATAGAAGACGTAAAAGTTCAAGAAGACAATCCATCTATATCCCACCACCACAATCACCAGAGGAAGAACAAGCAGAAGAAGTTCAAAAAGAAACTAATATTGAAGAACTGGAACGTAATGAATTACCAAGTAATTATGATTCAATAAATCCATTCAATGAAAATTATCATGATTATTCACAAGCTTTAAATTTCCAAGACCAAATGTTAGATGAAGGTTTTATTCCAGAGGAAACAGAAATAGATAATGAACAACAACAAGAACAACAACAAGAACAACAATTTGAAAAAAGTTTTGAACAATTTGATCAACAAGAATCTCAACAAGAAATACAACCACAGCATTCAAAAACACAATCTGAATTTGAACAAGCAGCCATTCTGTCTCCAATCAAATTCTCATCACCAAGAAAACCTGAATCAAATCCAAGATTTTCTGTATATGTTGAACCAGATAATACATTGAAGGTAACAACTGAAGAAGAATCACAAGCCAAAATACATAGTTTAACAAGTGGATCAGTTAACACACAACATACTGTTACAAGCAAATCAAACTCTATACTTGACGATAATGAAATACAATGGATTGATTTAGATGAAAGTAAAGATAAAGCAGATGATTTAATTCTTCAAGATACTGGTAAAATAAAACATACAAAATCTAAAAAGCAAAAATCAAAATCTTCAAAAGATGAAAGTATGCCAATTCAAATTTCTTCAGAATTATCAACAAGAAAATCAAGAACAAGAGGTAAATCTGTTAACTATGCCGAACCTTCATTAAGAAAGAAAATGAGACGTGAATCTGAACAATTAACAGATGCTGTTGCGGAAGCTGGTGAAGATTATATCAAGTCTGAACCAAATTCAAGACCTACATCCTCTAAAATACCAAGTGTTGATGAACATTTATTAAAAGCTTCAAGAGAATCACCAATAAAATCTACACACATGGAAACTGAGATTGAGAATCCAAAACCAGTGGTTGCACAACAAGAAACCAAAAATCCAATCGAAGAACTTAAGAAAAGACCTGCTCCTTTATTAGAACAAGATAGTATAAATGTAACTAAAAGAAGAAAACCATTAGCTACTTTAAATTCAAATAATAATCAAATTCAAAATAAATTATCTAAAAAAGAAAAAGATATTAAACCATCCAAAAAATTACTGGATATTGATGCTTCTGAATTATCAGTTTTTGATTTAGTTGATGAATGTGAAGTTGGTGTTCCAAAGACGTATAAAGGTACACCAGATACAAGTGTTAAAAAGACAAGAAGACAAAGTGCAGGTTCTAATACTGCAAGTAGGCGTTATAGTTCACTGTTGTGAATTATGAGAAAAAGACTATATATTGAAATAGCTTAAAAGTATAATGTGAATAAAATAGGAATGACTCTTTTTTTTTTAAAGAAAATTATAATAATTATAAATGTTGTATTAATATCTAAAAAAACCAAAACAGTTCAAGGACGAATTGAAATATATGTAAACTCCTATGCTATATATTTATATAATAGCTTTTAAACACTCATTTTCATTGCAATTTTTGGATGTGATTTATAATCAACAATTTCAAAATCTTCATAAGTAAAATCATCAATATCTTTAATATCTCTTTTAATAATTAATTTTGGGAATTCATAAGGTTCTCTTGTAATTTGTTCTTTTAAAGCATCAACATGATCTTTATAAACATGAGAATCACCCATAGTATGTATAAATTCACCACAATCCATATCAACAACTTTTGCAATCATTTTAGTTAATAAAGCATAAGAAGCAATATTAAAAGGAACTCCAAGACCCATATCGCAAGATCTTTGATATAATAAACATGATAATTGTGGTTTACCTTCTTTAGGAAAATTAACATAAAATTGTGAAAAAACATGACATGGTGGTAATGCCATAATTGGGAAATCTGGTGGATTCCATGCAGACATTATAATACGACGATCATAAGGATTTGTTTTCAATTTATGAATAACTTCAGCTAATTGATCAACACCTTGACCTGAATAATCAGCATCACAATCAGTATATTTAGCACCGAAATGTCTCCATTGGAATCCATAAACTGGACCTAAATCACCTTCACGTCTATCAGTTAAACCTAATTTATCTAAAAATTCACGACTTCCATTACCTTCCCAAATTTTAACACCTTTTTCACTTAATTTTTTACCATCTGTACAACCTTGAATAAACCAAAGTAATTCTAATATGATACCCTTTGTGAAGACTTTTTTGGTAGTTAATAATGGGAATGTATCATCTTTTAAATTAAATCTTAATTGTGGTGGACCAAATATACTATATGTCCCAGTACCTGTTCTATCTGGACGATGTTCACCTTCATTTATGATACGTTCACAAAGGTCTAAATAGGCTTTTTCTTCAAGGTTTGTTGATACCTTTTGTTTCTTTTCTTCTTGGGTCATTGTGATATCTTTATTACTTTATCAATGTTTAGATGATGAGTATTATAAACAGTTGAAAAGTTTCAAGACGCGTTAAAATTAATATAAACAATTGAAATTTCGCGTCTTTGAACTTTTTGAAATCCGGTGAAAACAAGTCATGTGACTGAGAAATCAAAACCGAGGGCGCTTTTACCAGATCATAATAACAATCGTAAACATTTTGAACATTTGAATTACAAGATTTGTGTGTAAAAGCTGAACAAAATCAACTAGAATTCATACCAGTGAAGAGAATAAGAACAATATGGGTAATCTAACGGAAACTTTCAGTGATATTGTGGAAAAAATTGAGAAAAAAAGAGGTATTGAGCCATCAATTAATCCTTCAAATGCTTTGGTGTCAGATACATTCATTAAAGAATCATTAGATTTAGTATGTTATTTGTTGTTTTTCTTTTAATATTGATGATATACTGACTAGGATGTTTCATATAGTATACACACATCACAGAACTTCGAAGATTTTTACAAAGTATTAAATCAGATTATTTAAAATCAGATTCAAGTAAATATAATCAAACAACCTCATCAAATAATTTAACAGAATCTGAAAGAGATGAAATTGATACACAATCAAGAATTGAATTGAAAAAATATGACGAAAGATTAAAATTTTTAGAATCTTATGAACAAAAAAGATCAAATTCTAAACAATTTTCAATTTTTAATAAATCTCAATCATCAGCAATTAATAAACATAGAGAAGGGATATTATTATCATTAAGTTATGAATTAAGAGATACTTCAAAATTATTATTAGATATGCAAGAAACAAGATTATCAAGGAAACGTGATGTTGATCTAGGTAATTTTGATCCAAAAATTTCTTCAATAAATGCTGAATCTTTTAATATTGATTTAATACCTGAAATTCCAAATAATGAAAATGAATTTAATCAATTATCACAAGAACAATTACAAACTTTACAACAAGAAAATAGTGAAATTCTTGATGCAAAATTAGAAGATTTAGCAAAAGTTGAACAAATTTCCAAAAGTGTTATTGAAATTGCTCAATTAGAATCTCAATTAGGTGCACATTTAACAATTCAATCTGAAAATATTCAAAATTTAGTTAATGAACATGATTTAACAGAAATTGATATTGTCGAGGGTAATAAAATTTTGAAAAAAGCTAAAGGTAAAGGTAATTATGCTTCTAAAATTGTAATGTTTACTGCAATTACTTTAGGTTCAATTATTTTATTTTATGATTTTATAGCATGGTAGAAAAAAGCAAAAAAAACATCTACACTAAATGATGGCATTTTTATGAAGTCTTTTTTTGTAATGTGTATATTGATCTATGTCTCTATATTATAAGATTCAACAATACCAGCACCAATAGTAAAACCATCTTTTCTTAAAACAATTCTACCAAGTTGTTTATTATCTTTAAAAATTTGTAAAGGTAAAGGTCTACCAATTAATTCAATTTCCACCATTGCAGATTGATTTGAACTTAAATGTTTTGGTTTTTTTTAGTAATTTTACCAGTAGTTTTATCTAATAATGATATAATCTTGGTAATTTTGGCAGGTTGTTGAACATTACCTCTAAATAAAACAAATTGTGTACCTAATAATAATGGTCTTTTCAAATCAAATAAAACTAATCTACTTTCAAATTTTGATAATGAAGATATTTCATTTGTAACTATTGATATAACATCACCAATTTGTATTTCTTCAATTTGAACATCTTTAATTTTCAATGTAACTTGATCACCTGCAATTGCCACATTAGTTTTATTGTTACTATAATTATTATTATTATTACCAATAACTATAGAATCAACTATACCTGCTTGATTTGATGGAGCAAATAAGACAGTTTCACCAGGTTGAATTGTACCAGTATCAATTCTACCTGAAAATTCATAATTTGATGAAATATCAGATATACTCATAACAAATGGTTTATTAAAATCTCTTGAAAATTTTTCAGAATTTTCCAAAGCACTTAATAAAGAATCTCCATTATACCATTTTAATTTACGTAATTCATCTTCAGTTGATGGTTTTTGAGAAATATTTACACCACTAAGACCAGAACATGGAATAAATTGAATTTGATCTTGTTGGAACCCAGTAATTTTTAAAAATTCAGTTAATTGATCTCTAATTTCTTCAAAACGATCTTGTGACCAATCATTATTATCCATTTTATTAACAGCAACAATGATTTTATTTATACCTAAACTTCTTGCCAATATAGTATGTTCTTTAGTTTGACCATCTAAATTAAAACCTGATTCGAATGCATCAGTTGAAGAATCAATAACTAATACTGCAATATCAGCTTGTGAAACACCAGTAATCATATTTGGAACAAAATCTTTATGACCTGGAGCATCAACAATTGTAAAACTTGCATTTGGTGTTTCAAATTCAGATGTACAAATATCCACAGTAACACCACGATTACGTTCTTCCTCTGTTTGATCCATAACCCAAGCTAAATGGAATGAACCTTTCCCAGCTTTTTCAGCTTCTCTTTTCAATTTTGTATAAGTATTCTTGTCAACAACGTTATTTTCTAATAATAAACGACCAGTTAATGTAGATTTACCTGCATCAACATGACCAATAACAACAAAACTTGTATGAGGTTTTTCTTGTCTTTTCAATAATTCTTGATTTAAATCAATTTTAAATTTTGGTTTTGTTGATTGTTTTGGAGTAATTTTTAAATTTGATACATCTTTTGATAATTGTAATTCTTCTTGTTTTTTAGATTTTGCAATTGAATTTTCTTCAAATGCTTGTTTTTGAGCATTTAGTATAACGTCATCAGGACTTGGTTGAGAAAAATTTGTTTTAATTTTTTTAGCTATAGATTCATTAGCAAAAGGTGAATAAATAGAAGTTAAATGATATTCTTCTAATTTTCTTTTATAAGTTTGTTGTTGAATTGGTTGTTGATCAAATGAAGAAGTTGAAAATTTGGGTATAAATGATGAAATATTATTATTTGAAATTGAATTAAATGGTGATTTATCAAATTTTACATCTAATAAAACAAATGATGGTTTTTCTGGTTCTTTGGTTTTTGGTTCTTTGATTTTTGGTTCAATCCTGATATCTTCTTTAGGTATTATAGGTTTTGATAAATCTATTTTCGATGAAGGTTTAGATTGTCGTAGACTTGGGATTGGTCTATTACCTAATTTTGATCTTGTTGAAGCTAATGAAGATAATTTTGAAGATCTAATGGAGCTTGATTGTGATGATGAGCTTGAACTAGATCTTGAAGATAACGGGGGTCTATTTTGTGAACGAGATTGTTGACCTTTTAATTTATCTAAAATTGAAATTGATGAAGTTTTATTTTCATCATTTTGTTTTGAATTTTCTAAAGCTGCAGCTTTTTTTTCAGCTCTTGCTTTTGCTAATAATTGAATTTTGGATAAACCTTTCCCTTCTTTATCATATATATTAGTCATTTTGGATCTCATTTGATAAAGATTATTCTTCTTTTTATTGACCAAAATTGAATGATAAATGTTGGTTTTCTCTTATATTTCCTACCTTTTTTTCTCAACTAAAAAGAACTTTGTGAAGGTTTATTAGATATTTCTTCAATTATAACCCAATTTTGAACAACATTATAAAAAAAGAAAATTGAATACAATAATTATGATACATACCTTCAACTTTTGGTTTTGGTGTAATCTTCTTAAAAGTTTCTATACCATGTTAGTCAATTGATCAGGACATTTAATAGTAATAATCAATAACTCACTTTTCAATTCTTTTAAAGTTGGTTCCAATTCAAAATAATTATTCCATAAAGAATCAGTAATATCTTTATCAGTATATCCAGTATAATCTTTCAATTCAGCTTTAACCAATGGTAACATTTCATCCATTTTTTCTTCATCTTCTGAATTCATAACTATCAGCTTGTTAGTGATCACCATAGTCAGCAGGAAAACTTTTCAATACACACCTTCATCTTCATAAAATTCTTCATCATTAGCATAATCTTCTAGATCTGTTTTATACTTTTGTTAATATCAAATCACTCAAAAATCACTTAAAACCACCATTTCAGCCCAGGAAAAAGCACCACTCCAACATACCGTCATCATCAAATCTCTGTGACATTCTCACACTTCAATTGGACTAAATTCCTTCCTTTTCGACCTGTTTTGACCTGATGACTTCTAACAAAACTTTCAAAACTTCGATGGCGTTTAAATTTGTTTACTTTTCATAAAATTCGCGAATGGAAATCATGGTGTTCTCTGCCTTGAACTTAGACAGGGCTCCGCCTAAGCTCTGCCTAGAACCAGTTCACCTTCTGCCTAACCCTCCGCCTAATTCCTATAAACAGCAAACTAAAGCAAAATCACAAAAGACAATTTAAATTTATTTTTATTCTTTTGACACCAAAAATCAGACACAAATTTAGTCAAGATAATTAACAACTGCTTTAATTGGTTATTTTGGTATTCATTTGCAATTGGATTGTTTTGGTTGATATTAGGCTGTTTAGGATAAGAAACTAGAGATTTTTAGAGATTTTTAGATACATTTGGTGGTTAATTACATTGATTAGGCTGGGTTTTAGTTTTTGGTTCAATTGGTATACTGTTATGATGAATAATGATGATGAATTCTTTGTTAGTGAAGATCGTGTGGAAAAGACATTGTTTAGAGCTGATGATGTATGTTTAATCAAGATCCCACCACCTATAACGACAGATTCTACTTCTAGTTCAATAATTGATATAAATTCATGGGATTTAAATGAAATTGTTTGGAAAGGGAAATTAAAATTTGTTGAAACTGAATTTATAATGAATATGAATATTGATGAAGATTCTATAAATGAAAGACAAATAATACAAGGAAATATAATATTGATTAATAATAATGGAATTACAAATGATATTTTTGGTAATATTCCTTATACTTTAGATGGTCATAATGTTCAAATTACAAATTCAAAACTAATATATAGTGTTATATTGGAATTTCAAGATAAGAAATTAGGACTGGGATTAAAATTTTTAAATCAAACAAAATCTTCAGATTTTAATATTTCATTACAAGATTTTAAAAAACATGCAAAAGCTGCATTAGATACTCATAATGATTTAATTAATGATTTACAAGAAAATTTCCAAAAATTAAATATTGAATTATCAAGTCCCACTGATTCACAAATTGAACATATTGATAATAATAAACAAAATGAATTAACTGATGAAAGTGATTTAGAATTTGGTGATTTTGTATCAAGTGAATAGACAATATATATACCTTTTGAATAGAAAATACCATTTATAGATCCAAAATTGTCCTTACCAAACCATGTTTTCATGAAGCCATCTACAATGAAAGAACATTAAATATATAACGTTTGTTTTTACATCTATTTACATGTATACCCCCAATATGCTTTGTTTATTCATTACGATACCAATATGCTTGTCTTTTAACTCTTTCAGATCTTGCGAATTTTCTACCTTTTGACCAACCATCTTTAATAATTTCTAATCTATTATTCATATCTTTTGATCTTTCCTTGGATTGATTTGAAACTAAACTAATTGTTAATTCTGAAACTTTAAACATCTCGGCTAACACTTTTTTAGTATATTTATAAGGTTCACCTAATCTTAATCTTTGGATTTCTTCAACATCTTCAGGTTTTAATATATAGTTTTTAATTTTTGGTATTGATAAAGCTGGTGCATTCTGTATATCAATTGGATTAATTTCACCAAAATTTAAACCTTTACGTGGATCATTTTGTGGTAAAAATAAATCAGGTGTTTCAATAGTTGGTGAAGATACTGAAGGTGCAGGATGATAAATAAGACCTTTTGGATTTTTATGTTTTGGTTTCCATGATGAAGTTTTTTTATTATATGTATTTGGAATTTCTGAATATTTTGAAATGTTTGATAATTGACGGGTGGCAAGTGGTGCCCTTATGACTCTCTGGGTTATATTAAACATGATTTTAGGAATATACTGATAGCTTTCAGTACCAATATCTTTCAAATCCACCGTAGTTAATTTAGTTCACCATATGTAATTTTTCACTTTTCAATGAAAGAAACTGAAAAACTATAAGAATTCGCGAAAACATCGTACCGGGTAAATTTTTATTGGTGATGGAGTGCGTTTACCGGATCTATATTACTTACAAATAAACGATTTTGAATATTTTGATTTTGATTTTAATTCTGTTCATCAGCTTCCATATAACCAAGTCAAGATGGACGAACTCAAGTACAGAGGTGTCAAAGTGATCCACAAGAGCAACAAGGTGGAAGAATTAGACGATAACACCACAGAGAAAACCACAACCATTCCACAAGATGATGATGATACCATAAGTTTTAGTTTCTTTGATATAATACGAATGTTATTAGGTTTATTAGTTCTTTTAGTTTCAATCTCATGGTGGTTCACAGGGACAGGGACATTTGGATACGAAGGAAAATTAATTGATCCACATTTCTTAAAATTTCAAATCTTTGGATCTTATTTAAACCTTACAGATTTAGAATTATCAAAATTTAATGGTTCAATTGAAGGAAAACCTATTTATATTGGTATAAATGGTACTGTATTTGATGTTAGTAGTTCACCAGGGATCTATGGACCTGGTGGCTCATATAATTACTTAGCAGGTAAAGATTGTGCTAGAGCTTATGCAACAAATTGTTTAAATCAATTAAATTATGATATTAGAGATTTAGAACCAAGTGAAAAAAGAAGATTAAAAGGTTGGTATGAATTTTTTGAAAAAAAATATTTTAAAGTTGGTGTGGTTAATCATGAGCCTTTGGTAGGTCCAGGGCCTGATAGATCTGATTGTCGTGGTAAAAATCATTATTAAGAATATGTGTCAATTTAAAATTGAATGCTATATATATATCTATTTTATTTATTACTTTTTTTGCATGTGGATGGATGACTTGGGTGGTTTTAGTTTAGGATAATGTTATCTAATAATCTTATTGTACGATTGTTTTCTGTAACATAAACCGCTGTACTTAAAACAGCAGATTGACCTGGTTTAATTGTACTTAATTCTTCAAGTGTTTCTAAATTAGCTAATGAAATATAATCAATTTGGAAATCAGGTTCATTGTTAATCAAATCAATAAATCTTGAAACAATTTCATCTTTTGTTAATTCATTATGACTTTCTTGATAAATTTTTTCACATTCTTGTAAATTTTCATAAATAATTGATGATCTTGATCTTAGGCTTTCAGATAAATAACTATTTCTTGAACTTAAAGCTAAACCAGAATCTTCTCTAACAATAGGCATAACAATAATTTCCAATGGTAATAATAAATCTTTAACCATTCTTTTCAAGACAACAGTTTGTTGAATATCTTTCTGTCCAAAATATGCAAATTGAGGTTGAACCGCATTAAATAATTTCAATACAACTGTGGAAACACCACGGAAGAAATTTGGTCTTGTTTTACCTTCTAATTGTTCACTAACACCTAATACTGTGACAAAAGCACCTTTTTGCTTTGTTAAATCCAAATCTATACCTGATGGATACATCTCACTGATTGTTGGTGCAAATATAACAGAGACTGTCTTGTTTTGTATTTTAAGATTTGATAATATTGAATAATCTTGATCAAATGTACGAGGATATGAATCTAAATCTTCACCTGGAGCAAATTGTGAAGGATTAACAAATATTGATACAACGGTATATGGATTATCTTCTAAACTTTTTGAAACTGGGTGGATTATTAGTACTTTGGATCATTGTACTTCATAGGATTTCACTTACCAAGTGAGAGATGACCTTTATGAAGAGCACCCATTGTTGGAACAAATCCGATTGAACCTGAGGTTGTGGATTTCCATGAACGTAGTTCTTTGACAGTTCTTATGATTTTAATATCAGTCATGGTTCTGTATGGTATTTTGATATGGAACTTTAGAAGCTAAAAGTGTTAGATCAATGTTTGAAATCTCGAGAAATTTAGTTCAACGGTTATGGTTTTTTTTTTTTTTTTTTAATTTTCGTATATACAAAAGCTGTCAAATGTTAAACGAGATCAACAAAAAGAGATCAATGGAAAGAAATCAGATAGAGGTCAAAATGAGATCAAAATGATCCATTCGAATAGAAGGAAGGTATCCTTGGACACTAGGCGTAATCCAAGAATTGGTTTAAGATTCACTTCATACAACTACAGCTCAAAAGGTTAATAAATCTCTACAATAAATATCATTCAATAAATTTATAAAGCTATAATTATAAAGCAAATTATATCATCATATATCAATAAACCATTCATTCATGACTAAATCTCTTTTTGTAAGGAAAGCAATTGATAATCAAAAGTTCAAGAAACTTATTTGGAACCATATTTGTTAATCAATTCATCAACAAGTTCAATATATCTAAAACAAAAGTTAGTAACATATCCAATATAATAACAACACATCATCATACTCACTTTTTTTCAGCTTCATCATTAGCTAAACCTTTTTGTTCATTCCATGCATCCCATTTATAACGATCTTTTAAAGCAAAGATCCCTGGTCTATCAGTATTAACATCACCAACAGTGGTTTGTTTATATAAGGCATATAATTTTAATAATTCATCATCACTTGGTTTTTGAGCCAAGTTGTTAACAGCTTCAGCCTAAACCATCGATTGTTAGTGGATCCCTATGATTTTGAATCTCAAGATCTTCTTGTCCTTCCTTCAGAGATCAATTCTAGATCAATTCTAACTCAATTGAACCCGTAATTGAACCTCAAGAATCCCCAGACAATACTCAATGCACTCACTTTAGTTTTAAATAATTCAGCAGGCATTTTTCAATTCAATTCAATTGTTTAATTGTTGATTTGTGTAAGATCAAAGTGTTGGTTTTGTTTTGCCATCGGTCTTGTTTTTATATTATGGAGAATTGCTGGTGTGGAAAGTTCCGGGTAAATTCCTTTGTTGGCCGGGATTTATCAATTTACCGAGAGTGATACACTACGAGTTTTGACAGAGGGTATAGAAATAGACATTTATTAAGAACTAAAAAAAAAAAAAAAAAATTTTTAAAGGGAAATTCACTACAACTTACCAATTTTCATATCATTCGTTATACTAGAGGTAACAATGAGTGGTGTGTCTCATTCTCAACTTCAAATTATCATACTCACTCCTTAATACTCGAACCATAACTTGGTGGAAGCTCATCATATTTACCCATAAAGTCATAATTTAGATAACCAGGAACTAATGCAATCAGCCTCTTAAATTGATATTCAGATAAAACATCATTTGATATCATGTAATTCAATTGTTCCAAGATATCATCATAATTTTTTGATGTTATCTTTTCTCCCCATATTGCCATAATCTTAACTTCATCTTTATAATTGAATTCATATGCTTTAACTAGATGATCATATGAACCACGAGTTTCATATTCATTTGACATCAAGTATGTAACTAAACTTTCCAGAATGACTCTTAATGGTAAATATACTTCATTTGGGTCTTCCTTCTGATCAATATACATTATAAATTTGTTTTCTTCAATCATATCCAATCCATTACCAAATAATTCAGTGTTTAAAAAAGCAGGTATATCACCTTGGAAATTTTTAATTAAATTTGATAATATTTCAATTGAAAAATCCTTAGGATCATATCCAGGTATTAAATAAATTTCAAATCTAGCCTGTCTAATCACTGAAGTTGATTCACCAATTTTTCTCCATATCATCCAGATAGATTTATAATTTAATGTAAGTTCTTTCATTGGTTTAGGAATTTCTTTAAACACATTAATTAGCTTGTTATTAACCTTATCCTTATGGAAGTTATTTAAAGTTTCATGATCTATTTTAAAGTGTGTTGGTGATTTAGCAAGTAATAAATTATTAGCTTCTTTAGCTTCAGGTTCTTCAGGTTTAGGTGAATCTTCATATGATTTTGAAAAAATTTCAATTATATTTCCTGCTATTTCAATTTTCATGATGATGGTGATGATGATGATGATGATGATGATGAATATGATTCAACAAGATATATATTTGCAGCTATATATATGTACCCAATTAGTTGTTTAATTGCAAAAATTACAAATAATCTTCCATGTATATATATCATAACAATATCAACCATATATTGATTAAGAATTGTCAATATATTGAAAGTCATGAAATTTCATGATAAATTCTTCTCATCGAAAATCAACTAAAAGTCATAATTATAATTATATATTACTTCGCTCAGTACCCAAAGTGTACTCGAT